CATCGCTTCTTAAGTTCTTACGTAGTCAGCGAGGAGCCATAGAGTACGATACTGCCTCGCTAAGATTACCATCTGCTCCAGTGAAAGCCGTAATCCATCATACCATGACCGCCAAGGAGGATGTGGATCATAAAAACCAAAGGGTGAGCCAAGTCAAGTGCTTGATTCACGAAGAAGGCCGGCATTCTACGGACGAATGCAAAGTCTATCTTTCGAAGTCACTTGAAGAAAGGAGAGAGCTTGTCAAAGTCAAAAACGCTTGCTGGTCTTGCCTTAAACCCGGACACGTGTCTCGTGCATGTAGAGGCAAGAAAACATGTGGAATACATAACTGTACTCTGACGCATCATCAGTCCCTACACGTAGACAAGGAATCTCCCAACGCTTCTGGTTCGACGTACGTTTGTAACAACCCTGAGATTGATACCTGCCTCCTGCAAGTTCAGAAAATCCAAGCCAAGAAAGGAGTGGTCAACGTAATATGGGACAATGCAGCGTCTCTAAGCTTTATCACTAACTCCCAAGCCAAAGAACAGAAATTAAAAGGGGAGAGGGCTAATTTGACAATCATAAAGATCGGAGCTCAGGATCAAACACTTAGTACAATGAAGTATACGCTACCCCTAGCTGATRCTCAAGGTCAAACTGTAAATATTGAGGTCTATGGAATCGATAAGATCACCTCCGACATTGACAACGTAAACACTGATGAATTGTTTAGTCTTTTCGAAGGCGTATCGAAGGAAGAAATCTCTCGTCCATCCGGACCTATCGACGTATTGATCGGGTATGAGTATGCTGCATATCACCCTGAAAGAACGCAGAGTGTTGGACACCTTCTGTTGCTCAAGAATCGATTCGGCCTTTGTATTGGAGGTTCACATCCCTCGATAAAAGGTGTGATCAAAARGCATGGCCTCAGTCGTGCCAGAGTACAACACGTAGTAAAGGGAGAAGTAGAGGACTTCTACAAAATCGAAAACCTCGGCGTTGAATGCGTACCACGTTGCGGAAGCTGCAAATGTGGCCAGTGTGCTATTGGAGGTAAAAACTACAGTATCAAAGAGGAGAAGGAACTAGAGTTGATTGAGAAGAACATGGAATATGACGCTCAAGATAGCAGATGGATCGCTGAGTACCCGTGGATTAAGGATCCAGCGGACCTTCCTGACAATAGAAGAGTAGCTCTTGCTATGCTATACTCCACTGAACGCAGGCTAGGAAAGAACGATCAGCACGCAACTGTATATGATGAGCAAGTTCGAGATATGGTACAACGAGGCGTCGCTCGAAAACTTACCAATGAGGAACTCGCGAATTACAAGGGTCCTGTTCACTATATTTCGCATCATGAAGTACTCAAGCCAGAGTCGAAATCAACTCCCGTAAGAATCGTCTTTAACAGCAGTGCAAACTACATGGGCCATGTACTAAATGAGTACTGGGCAAAGGGGCCAGACCTACTTAATAGCCTTCTCGGGATACTTGTGCGATTTCGTGAAAATGAAGTAGCCTTTATAGGTGATGTAAAAAAGATGTACCATACAGTTAAAACAACAGTACTGGATCAGCACACTYACCGCTTTCTGTGGAGGGACATGAACAYCAAAAGACCACCTGACACTTATGTCATTCAAAGAGTCTCATTCGGAGATAAGCCCTCGGCTACCATCGCCACAATGGCCCTTCGCAAAACAGCAGAGATGGGGAGCCAGGAGTATTCCGACGCTGCAAGGATTGTACAAGATAACACGTATATGGATGACATCATAGAAAGCACCGCGGATCTACCAACCGCACAGAAGCTAACTCAGGACATAGAGAATTTAGTCATAAAAGGTGGATTCCGAATGAAAGAGTGGATATTTTCCCGCAACTCAAATAATAATAGTGAAAAGGTTCTACCACAAGAGCCGAACGTTTCAACTGAAAAGGTGCTTGGAGTTATTTGGGACCCGATAACTGNCACGACTATGGCATTGTTCGAAATGCTTTGCTCTGGATCAAGTCCTATCTCACTGGGCGCTCACAAGCTGTCAGAATCAACAACACTACCTCTAATGAACGTGAATTAACCTATGGAGTACCCCAAGGGTCTGTTCTTGGTCCATTGTTGTTTTCCCTCTATTTTGGCCCACTTGAGAATGTCATCCATGCTCATGGTCTTCACTGCATGATGTACGCTGATGATACCCAATTGTACATTGCTTTCAATTCTAAAACCAGAAATGACAACCTATCTTTACTTGAGCGTTGTTTGCGAGACATTACCACCTGGCTCTCCAGCAACAAATTAGTCTGCAACCAAGGGAAAACGGATATTGTTCACTTAACATCTTCGTTTAGCAAACATTTGCCTATCTCCATCAATCTCAATGGTTCCATCATCCACCCTAAGTCTGAAGCCCGCGACCTTGGTATCGTTCTGGACAGTCACCTTCACCTTAATTCTCATGTAAACAATGTTTGCAGGGCAGCGTCGCTTGGCATTCGGAACATAGGTCGAATCCGCAAATACATTGGTAAAGCTGAAACTGAACGCCTTATCCACGCCTTTGTTACCTCCAAGATCGATTACTGTAACAGTATCTTGTATGGACTACCGGATTATCAGATCAAAAAGCTACAAAGAATGCAGAATACAGCAGCCAGAGTAGTCACCAAAATCAAGAAGWCTGATCATATCAGCCCTATCCTTAAGGAACTCCACTGGCTTCCCGTGAAACAACGAGTAATATTCAAGATTGTATTGACCATCTTTAAAGCACTTCATGGTCTTGCGCCTAGCTACATCACTGAACTTCTTGACCAATACAAGCCTGTTCGCCGTCTAAGATCTTCTTCTTCTAATCTTCTTTCTGTTCCACGTGTGAACACCACTCGCTATGGCGACAGTTCTTTCTCTGTCGCCGGGCRAGTACTATGGAACTCGCTTCCGGCGGAACTCAGACATGTCAAATCTCTGGAGCAGTTTAAGACTGCTCTTAAAACTTTTTTGTTTAGCTCAGCTTATTTATAGCTTAGTCATAGATTATTTATTCATCTATTTATATAAATTTCTCAATAGTATATTTCTATTATTCATAGCACATTTTTATTATTTATTCATATATATACATATATATATATATTTTATTCCTAAGTTGTAAAGCACATCGAGACATTAAGGATGCGCTATATAAATACGATGTATTATTATTATATGATATACAGTATACCAGTGATCCTTATCTTCTTAACATGTGGGTAGATTACA